AATTTTGATTTCTCTACAAGAAATATAAAACTCTTTGAGATGAAAAAAAATGATAATTTACATCAGGTACTTTCACATTAATGTCCAGATCTTTGTTGTTATTATAATGTCTAGGCCATTGTGTCCCCAATCCTCTACATATGTCTGTTGATCTGGGTTACCTTCACGGTATCCTGAACTGAACGCTTCAATTAATCTACAGGCATATATTGTTCTTGTTCTGCTATACATGTTTTGGGATATCTTGTCTTGTTCTTATGAAAAACTACTCATTTACTGCTTGTCCTGTTTCCACAGAGTTTAAGTCTGCACTACTCAACCCAGGGATTGAACTCACAATTACTATGTCACCAAATTCACGAACCAATGCCTTAATCCAGTAGGTTATTGTCCCACATGAATGTAGTGGCATAGTAATTGTAGGCCAGTCTGACTGTAAATAGTGATAACTCCTCATCCCAGAAATTCAGACAGAAAAATGATGACATTACTAAGAAAATAGGGAGTTAAACCGTCCAAACATAATGCATTACAAGAACACCATAAATCTTGCAATTGTTCATTTCTTGCTGTTGTTTGGGTAAAGATTTGTTTAATTTTCATGGTTTTTCTGATTGATATATCATATTTATAGAATATTTTCAGTTTGAAGTGACCTTTTAGGGCTATGTCATAAGAGACATTTTATTTCCTGTCACAAATTAATCAAAATCATTTATATTGAACATATTTCTTTTAGTGATTGAAATGACAAGAAATTAATTTCCAATGATCACAAATTTTCATATCAGTGTCAGTGATTTCAAGCTCTCATTTTTTGTCATGTCCCATCATAAATATTTTTCTCATTCTTCTCAATAAACCAGAAATGAGGAAGAAAATGTTAGTTGTTATAAAATCATTTCTTACCAATATTGTTTCCTTTTGTTTAAAATATTTCACTTAAATGGAGATTTTTATTTTTCACTATAAGTGTGACATGTAATTGTAACTGTGTTAGAAAATAAGCCATCTGTTGTCTCTGTGCGCATTGAGTAGTGGTTATTTGTGTACCAAGTTTAAAATCAGTCTGAGGCTGTTGCATTCACTTTTGCTCAAATGCCCTTGACAAAGGCATAAAATTATCTCTTCTCACTGCAGCTATGGATTAAACACTCTGTTGTCAGAATGATATTAAACAATTTTTTTTCTCCCTCAGTATTAACTGATTTTCTTTGTCTTTGTGCTACTTGTCTGTTCATCAATTTTCTCAAATTTATCAAGTAGATTGCTTAGTGCTTTCCTAAGTTTCAGAATGTCCTATGAATGTTAAATTCTCCAAATGTTCTTTCCTCATTATGTTTCATCATTATTAGCAACAGTTTCTTTGTAATTCCTATTCTCCTTAAAATTATCAGTAAATAGTATTCTAAAGATTTGTTGAGAGATCTTCATCTTTGTTGCTTTGAATCTTTTCTTCATTTGAAATGAAACTGCCCAGAATTCACTGCCATAGAGAAAATTAAAAATTACATACCAGTCCAGCACCCTTTTCTTTGTTTGTTTTGTTGTTTTTTCTTAGTTATCTTTGAGGACATGAAAAATCATGTATCTCCACTATTTCATGTCGTTCAGCAATGTTTGTCTTTTTACTACCCCCACTTATCTTTGTTCTGCCATCCATCTACACAAGTTCATTAGGTATGATATTTGCTGTTGCTCTCATACTTCAATATGTCCTGTGAGTGTCAGATTCTCCAATCACTCTTTTTTTCATTATGTGTCCCAGAAATTTCAACAGTCATTTTCTGATTTTAAGTAAAAGTGAACTTTTCTGGAGTACTAGTGTTTATTATGGTCATTATGAATATTTTGAGAAATATGTGAGCCACAAATGCTTATAATTCCCCACCCACTACAGACACAAATTGATTTGCTTGTTCCATACTGTTTGGTGAATCATATCCATGTGCTAACTTGAAAATATTTGTCAACTCATTATTTCCAACTTAACCCTTAAGTAAAAATACTTTTCTCTCCTCCTCCTCCTCCTCCCAAAACACTGACCACACTTCAACCATGTCCCAAACACCTCATATTTTTGTTACAATAGAAATTATGACAGCTAGTCCTCTCTGACCTTAATTGAAGATTGAGAAGTTAAAATTAAAACCAAGGTCAACTTGTGTCATCCAAGCAACTATTACCTTTGCAGCCTCACAAATTTTGTCCACTTGGGTTTAGATCTGGAAAGGAAGACTTTCTTTTTTTCTCATGCACTTTCTCCCTCATTTAATACTGGCTGCAAACTAGCACATAACCCAGCAACATGGCAAAGGAAGGAACCACTTGGTGGTTTAAAGTGCCCATTAATTTATTATCAGGGTGTGTACGTCCATGAGGGAAAAAACACTTCTGCCTGCTCAGCCACACTGACCTCTCTTAAGATTTGTCTGACTTTAAATTTAATCTTAACAGCACCACCCACCGATACATTTAGAACACTTGTTTCATTTCCAAATCAAACAGTTAATATTTTTATATCTTTATTGTAAATCTATTAAAGAAAATATTTATAATAGTTATCGACAATCAAAACAAGTAATTGGGTATTTGTAGAAAATCAAAAATTAGTTTCTTTGCTTTTGTTTTTCCCCTTTATGAGGAGTGGGTAGGGAACACTGTGAAGTGGGTCAGACAGATCCAATTCCCAAAATCAGTATTTTAATGATCAAACATCAACTTGAAAGATCTCTTCTCAAGACTCTGTGTTGTTGTCTGAGTATTAAAATGACAGAGTGGAAATTATTTAAATGTTAAGAATGTCAAATAGCTCTATTCCATTTGAAGATATGTTTCTATGGCTCAAATAAACCCTTTCATGTCATTTAACAATCTTTGAAAATAATGTTTATTTTGAATCAGAAAGCAACATGTTTCCTTACCCCAGTAAATCAAAACAAAGATCTAGGAACATACGAAGAAGAGTAATGTTCTTGTTACTACTACAACATTTTGACTACTTCAGCTGTCTGTCAAATTGGGCAACCTTCAGGGAATTTCAAGCTGAACCCTTTATCCAATTTAAGAGGCTAAACTATTCTCATTTCACTGTCCATGTCTAGGGATATCTTGTCTTGGTTAATTGTCCATTTTAGTATTACTTGGTTTCTTCTAGTTCTGTTTCCACTGGGTAAAGGTATATCTGTACTACTTGACCTAATGATTTAAATCACAATTATACCACAAAATTAAATAACCAGTGCTTTAATCCTCCATTGTCCCATGGGACAATCCTGAAGCTAGAACTTAAACCTAATGTTCTTCTTGCCTCTTCAGGAGTTGCTGTAAACTTGTTGTCAAACTAAGCCACCTCCACTTCTTTTTTCTTGTGTTTCCTTCTGCCATCTTTTTACCATGCCCTGATGTTAATAGTTGCTGGATATTTCTGGCACATAGTATTCTTTCTTTCTTAATGGATCCCATATGTTGATTATATCTATGTTTGGCCTACTGTGCACTGATTCCTTCAGATGTTTGGTTCCCCAATGTTCTTTGTCTAACATTTTTACTTCATTCCACAGAGGTTGGTGAGCACCCTTTTCCTTCTACATATGACTTTGTCTGATTTCATTGTTTCACTCTTAATTAAACAACTGCAAATAGTGTAAATAACTCTACACCCCAGAAAGAAATTAAGAGAAATAAGCTGGGGAATTTTAGGCTATTTTTTTTCTTTTCTTTTCTCTTTCTCTTTCCCTCTCTCACACACAGGATTAGTTTTAGATGGGAATAGACTTGTTAAAGAAAATATAAATGTCAAAACAGGTAGGAGTGATCACAAAATGTAATAAAGAATAAGTACTTTGGGAATATATGAAAATATATAATGGGAAGATAAAATTAATACCAACATTGTTATTAAATTGGAATGATCAATATTGAAAATAAGCTCAATAGATGTGTTATATGTAAAATTTCAGATATAGCAAAAAATCTATCTGTAAAAAGACAATATGAATAAAGATATATTCCTTTATTCATATATATACAGGGTGTGATGTATAAATTCTCATTTAAATTATGCAAAATGAAACTAACTTATTTTAAGAGATATATTTACCAAACTTACACAAAAATATTTTGAAATATTAAAGAGTAAATTTATTCAATGAAATTGCTATTGGCTTCAACCACTGCCTCCAGATGACTTTGGAATCTCTTGCAACTCTTCTGGATGGTCTGCTTGTTTAAGTTGGTGAATGCTGCCATAATCCTTGCCTTCAGTTCATTTTTGGTGTTTTAAGGTGTTTTGTTGGTCTCTCACTCAACTGCACCCTACACATAATAATCAAGAAGATTGCAGTCTGGGGAGTTAGGTGGCCAGATATAAGGGTTGATATGGTCACAGAAATTGTCTGACAGCCATGACTGGATTCTCATGGTTGTGTCAGGGTGCAGAGTCCTGTTGCCAGACATAAGTTCTTTCAGTAGCCACCCTCTTGACCCAGGGCAGCACTACCTCTTCAAGGCACTTGATGTAGGTCTCCATGTTGTGTCTGAGGCCCTACCCAATACATTTGGGTGTTCTTTTCTTATCAAACAATCAGTGAATTTTCCAAGCTGCTGTAACTTCATAATCACCATTAGACTCATCCAACTCTTTGTGAATCCTCTGGAGTGTCCACAGATTGACACCAAAACATTCTGAAATGTTCATATTGGAGCTTCCAGCATGAATGCCAAGCAGTACAGCATGCCGTTTCCAAATGTCTGGCAGAGTGAATTGCATCATGGTATGCTTTTTCTCACAGATGGTGCTCAACTGACCCGACCATACTGTGCAGACGACAAAATCAAAAATAAACACTGTGAATACGTTAAATTAAAAATATAAAATGACTACAATTTACCCATCGCATCTTGTGTGTGTGTGTGTGTGTGTGTGTGTGTGTCTGTCTGTCTGTCTGTGTATATATATATATATATATATATATATCTCTTGAGAATTAGTTGGGGGAATGGATTCGCAGTTATGTAATCCACTGATGTTTTCAAACTTTGTTTCTCGTGTATCACAATGGCTACATAACATCGCGGGGTCAGAGATAAGCCAAAAGTACTCTCTTTCTCTCTACACTGCAGTTGCCAAAATATGTGAGTCAGAACTGCTGGTGCTGATTACAGTTACCACCACCATCGCCTTCAAGACAAGTTGGTCAAACTTCTCCTCCCCACCTCTCCAGTGACCCCCTTTAACTGCCACTGGCAGCTTGCACTGATAAAGACAAATAAATAAAGGAGGTGGGGTGTTAAAAAAAACAAAAAAAAACAGGTCAGGTACTTAGCCCACCATCACTGCAGTCTACCCTAATTTTCTCCACCCCCATTCTACCTCCTGAAAAAATGTATGGTGGCCTAAGCTCTCTATAAAGAAATTGCCTTTCTCCAGTTGTGGAAATATGATGAGTGAAGGGAAAGAAAAAGAAAAAAATATGAGCGCCTTTCTTCTTAAGGGATAAATATGGTATTAGGGTCAAAGAAAATGTCTGATCCTTGAATGTTGCAAATTCCTGTGTTTTGAGGATTCTCTTAATTCATTAAAAATTTTGTTTCTTCAAATGTCAATTGATTTTTATAGTTGATTTTTAAATAGATAAATAAGACATTCAAATATTTTGGGCGAAAAATCATCCTGCTCAGTTTTTTGACTCCTCAAATATTTTTGGATAAGATTTAAGGGTCTTAACTTCTATATTCCATGTCACTTTGGCAAAGTTGGCAATCATGGTTCTCCACAATTTCATGTCCTTTGTAGTTCCTAATAACTTTTGTGACAACAGTTATTAAGATCTACAAGGGAAAAGGAATGTAGAAGTTAAGACTTTTGAATCTTATCTGAAAGATGAATAAGGCAAGTGAATATTAACTAATGTGAAATAATCCCCAAATATAGAAAGAGAACAATGTATCACAATGATTAAATAAAAGGTTTGATTCCAAAGTTACCAAATACGATAATAGATGCCTAAAGAAAACTGAAGACTACAATGAATATAACAACCAAGATGGGGATGTGGATCTGAAGAGCAAAGTATACAATAATGGTAATTCTTCATCTTGAAAATTCTGACATAATTCAAGATAAATCATCAAAACTTTTAGAAATAAAGTTTCTTGGTCAGATAAAATTATGTAAATTTGCACAGAAACCAGTTCTTGCTGTGATCATTTTCTTTCTAAAGTAAAAGTGGATATTGTTACATGTGTTCCCATTTGAACATTTCAGATCAGCATGACTGCGTCTTTACTATTACGATACTCCAGCCTTGTCGGAACTAAAAAACAGATCAGATTTTTAGAAAGCTAAATTATTATTTATATTATAATTTCTAATTATTAAATTATTATGTATATTTATGTATAATAAATATATAGTTTTAAAGTATGCTATATTTATGGGCTAAAGTGCTCAATATTAGTGATAGTGTAAAAAAGTAGACATTGAAGTCAACACCCAGTGGCAACAGTCTGCTTCATGCTTAAATGCAATCGTCATGCTATGTGTGTTGTGTTTTTGCTTGACTATTTACATATACAGGCCAGTGATGCATTATGCTATTGTATTATTCTAACGGTTATTTGGGTGGACGGTAACGACTATATTTTGAATCATTCTAGTGGTTATTGAGTGGAAATTATTGTAATTTTGGATGCAGTTTTCTGGCTTTATATATTATTGGTTATTTTATTGTTTTTTGTTGGTTGTTATTATTACATTTACTTGTGTTTATGTGTGCATTTGTAGTCTGTTAATTTGTTTATTATTTACATAATTATTTACTTGTTTGTTTGGATTAATTTGTTTTATTTATTTTATTTTAGTAAAAAAATTTTTTGTGTCTTCATTTTGAGATGAGTTCTGATCATTTCTTTAGTTCTTTGTGTTGGTCTGGGAAGGTAATTATAGCTGTCTTCTCCTCTAGATAGAGTTTACAGTTTTTAGATTTATTGCTGTAAGCAGATTCTGTTTTCCTTATTTTCCATTTATGTGATTTGTTTTTATCTCACTTAGAAAGTGTTGTGCTGTTCTTATATTTACTATTTGTAAAGGATGTTTTGTGTATGTAGTTTCTTTGTTTCCAGGGTCCAACAGTTACTCTTATGTATATTTTTCTTTGTTATCTACTGATTTTACAGTGGCTTGGTATATTACATTGCTCTACAAGCAATTGCTATTTAAGAGACATTTGTTTTTTGTTCTGCAGTTACACATGTGTTTGATTTGTTCAGTTGATTTATTGCTTGTTTTCCTGTTGTGCTTTTTTATTATTTGTGTCATGTCATTGATGCAACTGCAGCTGATTTTTACTGTGTTTTAATTGAGTATCTTGTTGAAAGTGTTTGATGGGGGGAAGGGTTTGTGCATGTGTTTAATGAATATTTTTCTTACATTTGTTTTTATATCTTTGTTGTACAGTAGGTTGAAGCATATGTTTCTTTTCTTTTTTTTTGTACTGCGTGATGTGTATGAGTGTTGCTGAAAATCCAAAATCTAGATTTGGTGGCTCTTCATTCAACTCACCATACAACAAAAACGTAAAAAAAAAACATAGGAAAAATATTCATTAAACTCATACACAAACATTTCCCCCATCAAGCACTTTCTGTTGATGTAATTTTTGCTCCTTTATCATCCTACTATATCTTTTCTGTTAGCTATTCACTCAAACTCATTAAGGAGGTTACTTACTATTTCATCTTGCATCACTGTCTTATGAGTCCTAAATTTTCCAAGTTTTCTTTCCTCACTCAATTATCACTTTCTAATTTCCTTGTAATTTCTATTCTTCTTAAAACTACCTTGCTACTTACATGTTCATTTATTACTTCAAGTCTCTTCATCTGTGAAGAGATTGTCCAACACATACTGTCATATTCTTCTTCTATGTCATGTGTCATATCAGGATGTGAACAATCATGGCTCTCCACAACTTCCTGTCTTTTGTAGCTTTAAGTAATGTTTATCTTTTTGCCATCCCTACAAGTCCATGTTCTGCCAAATATTTACACAAGATCATTAGGTAGGAAATTCACTGCTTTAAATATTACATAGCAGTTCAGCACTCATTTCTTTATTTCTAAGAGCATTTTCCTCTCTTTTAATACTTTGTGTAAGTAAAACATCTTAGTTTTCTATTGTCCTTTATTACACTTCAAAGATAGTTAAATTGATTTTGATATCTCTGCTCTGTAGCTCAGACCTTTGGCTGTCTCTTTTGCTGACAGGCATGAAGATTTCCTCTTGTATGAACAGTAGAATAAAGACTATCTACTCCCTTGGATTAAATAAATTCCCTGGAAATTTACAGATTACAACAGACACCTGAAGAAAGCCAAAATGATGTGTCTATAACAATCAAGATTCAACAATCAAGAGGTCACCAGTCTGGGTAAAACAGGATGGAATAATGATTTTTAGTGTATATTTTTATAAGTGAGGTCATCATATTTTCCAATTTTAGCTTCTTATTGAAAAGCCATTTGTATATTTATATTTTCTTTACTTTTAGAAGATTCTTAGATTTATCAATAATTTTACTAATCTTTTTAAAAAAATGAAGCTTATTCATATTATAAAATCAAATAAAAATAAATATTTTCCTTTTTCTTTTGGTGTCTACAATTACGTTTACAGATATTGGGCAAATGATTTGCTTACACGTTTGCTAAGGCTGCATGCTGAGGAAGTGTCATAAAATAATTATACTTACCTATTTTGTAAAGTGAATATGACGTCCACAAGCAACTTGTATGGTCACTGCTCAGTACAAATGTACTGAGCTTCTACTTCTTAGTTTTATATTATTAAAGCTCTCCCTTAAATGCCACTGTATGTTGTCGTCAGTCAGTGTCATTTTCAGGGAACAACACACACAAGCTCGCACACTTGTAAAGTTCCACGCATGTCTCCTTGATCTACTTGTGTCCTTATTGTCACAAATCTGATCATTTCTCTCTCTTTCCTTAATCTACATTAATATCTCCCTCTCTTTCTAACTACCACCCCAACATCCTCTCTCTCTCTCATCTTTTCTGGTTCAGTTGTCATCTTTCAACACTCATTTTTTCCATTTTTTTTTTCTGTTTTTATTGTTCTCTTTTTTTGTCATTGCCTTTCTTTTCAGTCCTTCTTCTCACATTCTTGTTTGTTTTTTGGGGGTTTTTTTCTTTATTGTCCCTCCCCCCCTGCCTATCTCTCTGGTCGTTGAAAATTATTCTTTCAGCTATATCTCTCCTCATTTATAATTTCATGCTCTCTCTCTCCCTCTTTATTATTGTCTTTTCCTTTCTTGTCATTTCACTCTCTGCAACTCTCTCATCTTTGTTGATTTTATTTTTTAAAATCTCTATCTTGTCAATTCTCTCTTACACTTTAATGACTGTTATCCCCACTCTCTCTCTCTCTCTCTCTCTCCTTTTCCAATTCTTTTCAGTTTTATCTTTCCTCTTTTTTTTCTCTCTTTGAATCCTTCCTTCCTAGATGTTCGCATTTCTTCATCCATTTTCTCAATGTCTTACTTTTGCTTTCTTTCCTCCAGGTTTGCAAAACACCATTCTTGTTTGCTCTATATTGACTAATATTAATATTAATCTTAATCCAAAATATTACAGGTAATTGGCCTTCAATCTACCACTAAATTTACATGAGGTTTCTATGTCTGTCACAAGTATGAGAATGGTGAGGTACATTACCACATACTTCTGCAACATTAAAACTAATGGATCTTTTCTGTTAATTCACCCCTAAATAAAAAAAAATTTATATTTACTAATATTTTGCATGTCAGTTGGTTTGACTTTTGCTATTGCCCCAAATTTGGGTGAATTGGGTGAGTTATTTCTAAGTATGGGGTCTCTGTTCGCGCTCACCCAAATAAGCACCCCCAAAACAGATTTTTTTCTTTCTTTTTTTTAAATTGCAAAAAATTCCTAACCCATGCCAAAAATTTAATAAAAAACAGACTTTGATTTAAAATTTAGAATATTTAGAATTTCTAAACTCTGAAATTGAAATATGGTTGAGTGCCATTTCTTGAACTAATCTGTCTTGTCAGATGGTTTCTGTATTGTAAACTTGGACAAATCTAGGAAGAAACATTGATTTCAAAATATAGCAAAGTACTCTTCCATCAAATAGTCAGGTTAGTGGTTTGTAAGGTATTTACCATCTTTTATTACATCCTACTGTACAGCTGGACCATATCATCTGTGTTTTACCAACTGCGGTTTCACTAATTCATGATTGGCTCAACAAGCAAAACTTTCATGAAGCCAGAACTACTTTGCAAATATTTCAAAGGAGTCAAATATAAACAAAATAAATGTCACATTTTTATTAATAACATTATTTTGATAATATAAAAACAAATTCTCTTCTATGTGCCATGTCCTTTTGTGACGTGGGCAATCGTTATTCTCTACAATTTCCTCTCCTTTGTAGCTCTTAGCAATTTTTGTTTTTTGCTATCTCTCCTAATCCTAGTTCTGCCAACCTTTTATACAAGCTCATTAGGTAGGTTATTTGATACTTTCCTCCGTCCCTCTTGCCTTCGACATGTCTTATGAGTTTTAAATTCTCCATGCCCTCTTTCTTCATTATATACCCTAGACTATTCAATTATCTTTTTTATTCTAAGTATACCTTTTCTTTTTGTTTCCATTTTCCTTAAAACTTCCTCGTTGCTTACATGTTCAGTCCATGATATTCTCAGTATCCTTCTGTAGAATCACATTTCTGTTTCCTTTTCTTCCTCTGTCATAGGATTGTCCAGTATTTTCTGCCATATAGTAGGACCGATATTATATAACAATCCAGTACTCTTTTAATTAACTTAAATATCCTCAAAACTATCAAAGTCTGAACCATTTGATCCTGAAGGGAAAAATTCCAATTCATAAAAAAAGTTTTGTTCCTTAACTACTGAAATGTTTTTGTCTCATTCATTTCATTTTTATTCTTGATTTTCCAAGTAAGTCAGATATATTTCTTAGTGGGGTGTGAAGAGCTGCATCCTCTTGGTTATCAAATGGGCTGACAGTGCAGAGTAAAAATTTTGTGTCACTATTAAACATGGACTTCACCATCTGCAGGAAACCCTTTTATGGTAGAGAATAATATCCTGCAATAGAAACCCATTCAGTCAGAAAGTGTGCAGGGGGTGGGGAGGGCGTTCAATTTATTTTTAAAGTTTGCTTTCAGTTCTCCTGGTTGGGAGATTTCTATTCTTTTTTCTACTTTTTATCCAAGTCTACTGGTTCATAACTAGTGTTTTTCACCAAAGCTGCCACATTTTTTTCTTTTTTTAACAAGATTTTCCCCGTAAAAAAATTATTGAACTTTTTTCCACTAAAAGAGTTACCAAATAAAAATATTTCTTTCAGTCAGCATGTGTTTTGAAAACCATTTCACTTTTCAGATCATGATTTGGTTAAATTATTACAAAGATAACCTATTTCTGTTGATTTCCATCAACAGGAATAACTGCAAAGCACTTTCCCCTTCCCCTTTATAGGCAGAAGCATACAAATGAATGCTGGGATTTTTTTCCAGCCAATAAAATAGGCTGGTTCTCGGTTTGACCTGATGTAGTCCTGGTCTGTCTTGTCTTGAAGTCAGAACGCTACATTCACATCTCCGAACTTGCTTTTATGTGCTGATTGCAATTCTTAGTTCCATGAACTTTTTGTCATATTATTGTTGCTTTGCCTTGCATAGATTGTTTGTTTGCTTTATATTATTTTTTGCCCTGTTCTTTTTCTTGTTATTGTTGATTGCAAACTTTATCAATTTTTTTTGTCAAATAGTTCTGTTACTTATTTTGCACTTGATCTTGACTACCCACTCCCCAATTTCAGTACTAAATTTATTGAATCAGGGTCTGTTTATATGATAAACTTTGCTCTGAAATAGATTAATGTTGGTTCAAAATCTCACCTCTGTTGGTAAATTTGAAGAATTATATTTTAGAGTTAACATTTTGGAGCTATGCTTCTGTTTCTCTCTGTTTTTGATAAGATCTTTCTGTTATTCTAATCTAAATTTCCAAGTTTTAAGATCTTTAGGTTGACAGGTTTGCTTTGCGTGGGTCACCATTCAACATGTTATACTCTTTATTGTTTGTTCGAGGAGCTTTGAATTATTTAAAGTTTAAATGTTTCACCAGAGACCCTGAGAAACACTTCATATTGTGTTTGATAATAAGATTTATCATAAAGCTACAGACATCTCTGTAAAACTTGTTTTGGCTTTGCATGTACTGATTAGTTCAATAGATTGATCAGATGAGCAGTTAAATCTATTTTATTACCCTTGCTAGTCACCAATAAACACTTTTATATCATTGATTTATCTATAAAAGGAACAAGGACTTCTTTGTTAATTACTTCAGCTATTCATAAAAGAAAACCTATTTGCAGTGGAAAGTGTGACCTTTTTTCAGTTTATGCTTTAAGACTCAAACTAAGAAGAGTTTTTTATCATTTTTATTGCAAAAATTTGTCAACTTAAAATCTGAAATAATCTTATCTTTGGGTTTTAAAAATTAAAACACCACTTGGATCAGACATCCCTTTTTCTTAATTTTTTTTTTTTTTTGTGATATTTGTCAGTTTTTGTTGCTGAAGAAAAAAAAGGAAGATGTGAAAAGAAAAGTGAGAGAAAGGTTGTAAGAGAGAAAGAGAGACATTATAAAACTGTGGCAGCTCATTATGAAGATGCTGCAGATGAGGATGACAAAGATGGAGATATGGATTTCCTAAGGCTATTGCAACTCTGACATATTACTCAAATGTTTGGTAACTATTTTTTTGACATGTATGAGAACTTGATTTTCTTTTGGAGCATGGCAATTCTCTACTCCATAAAGTAGATCTATTTCAATTGTTAGTATTTAACCATTTAAGTTTGTTAAAAAAGATAAGTAATTACCATTGTAGAAAAAAAGCATAATTCAATGACATGACACAGTGTGAGAAAAAAATAATAAAACCAAAACTTTGAGATACAAAACTTTTATGAGTATAACAAAAGAAAAGAGAGAAGAAGGATGTTTACCATTATGGTGTTGCAAAAAATGATATTTTGCAGACTTATCACAGAAAAGAAACATCCTCTTAACAATTTTTTGAGATCTTGTGATTTCTTGTTGTTGTGGGGATGGCACAACAATGTCTCGACATCTGGACTTCCTGAGGATTGAAAAGATATTTCTTCACATGGCATAGATGCTATAATCCCGGGTTCCACTGATCTGTTGGTAAGTTTTTCTGACAGTAGTGTTTTTGTATGTGTTACTCATTGAAAGACAACATGGGAAGGAGGAAGAAGATTCAAACATGGCACACAGATTGGAACAAAGCAATTTCAGTAAGGGGCCTTCTGATTGGTTCCTTTTTAGCCAGTCACAGGGATTGTTGTAACAATGCCAAGTGGCCTGTTCAAAGGGGTGTTACTCTGAAAGACTTGTAATAATTTCAATACAACAGTCTCCATTACTGTTATATTTTTCACACTCCATCTAGTTTCTCCTATCATTTTGATAATTGCATTGAATATTGCTTGTTCTTGAGGTGTGACACCAACCCCAATGTGACTGACTTTCTGTCTTCTCCACATTTTGCTACACATGGTTACTCAACTTTCCTAAGTTACTCAATTTTCTCAGTAAACTGCTAAATTATAAGAAAACCTTGGACATTTGATTATTTGTACTATAATAACCATTATATAGAAATCTATATACTCAACTCAATAAATTTTTTTAAGTGGAGGACATGTGACCTGTTAGATACAATATGCTAGATTGATTAGGTCAGTAGGTAAATAAATATTAATGATAAATCAACAAGTAATATGATTACATATGTAAGACGGTTGCTGCCTGTCTGTCTGTCCATGTGACAAGCAGTGGTGACTAAGTCTGCCTAGCATGTCTATTAGGGCATATATTGATTTTTCTCTTTCTATAGTGAAAACATCACAGAAATGATGTAAGCATTGGCTATCTTGGTGGGGAGGGAGGGCTGTTATCATCAGGTTGGGGACTTGGGTGTCAGCTGACAATCACACATGTGCAAACTCTTAGCTATGTTTAAAGGCCTAGATAATAATCATTGGAATATATATATATATATATATATATATATATAAAACACACATACATATATATATATATATATATATATATATATATATATATATATATATGAATTTGGTAACATGCATTTACTGTATAGTTTCATATTAACACAGGTTTCATTTAATTTCCAAAATTAATGTATTTAGGAAAATTTAATATATGTTATACACAAGCACTGAGATCTGTGATTTTTACTATAATTTAATGTAGTTTTGTGTATACCACCCTTAACAAACATTGTCAAAATATAAACAAACTTAATTAAATATTTATTCAAACACTTGTGAATTTTCAGACTCTGATATTTACTGAAGCCACTTAACATAAA